AAAAAGTATAACCAAAAGATTTGTCATTATCAAATGCCAGACAAAAAACACCTAAAGTCGAATCGATTAACTTTGATCATAGTATAAAAAGTAACAGAGCATATGTTTTATCAAAGTACTTCAATTTATTATAATGCTTCATTCTCTCCCCCCAACCCACAAAACAGGGAAACAAGGAAACAAGATAGACACACAAAAAGTTAGAAAATGATAGTCCTGCCCAACCGGCAATGTTTAAAACTTAAACAAAGCATTACAGCAAGAAAATTTCATGTGAAAAAAAATCAGTAAAGTAAAACAAATATGCAGGAAAAGAATTAAACATGGGAATTTTTTGGAACCTTCCACAATATCTTCTAATTTAATTAAACACGTTATTGTAATTACTCATCAAACTTTTTCTTTCACTTGCTATATAAAGTGACATTCATAGAAAGGAAAGACTGGATATCAATGAACTGGCAAGAGTAATAATGCACCAAAGATGTGAAAGAATGTTGACAAATTGTATCCATCTTGCTGGAAGCCCAGCGAAAGGTAAGTCAACTGCGCAACCAAAAAGAGACATGAACATGAACTGAAGAAAAGCTACCTGACAGAAAGATTTGCAGCATAAATTCCTAGATTCCAGACTACATTACCAAAAATGTTTTTCATTATTATTCTGTAATAGTAATAATTCTTAGCTTTTTTAGATCCTCAAAGAACTTTAAATTGCTTAAGAAATAAATGACACAGATTCTAAAATATAGGGTAAACAGCAACTATTATACTTGAAAACTCCTTTATGCCCAGCTGAGGCATATTCTAATTGCTTAACTTCCCAACTGACATCCCAGAAACTTACGTTAAGACTAACCCATGGTTTTCTAGTGTCTGACCAGCTCAACTGCCCATGCACTCTGTAGGATCTAAAGGCATTCTCTGAAGCAAACACTCAGGAGGTTGGACTGTATATCAACTTGGGGCTCTGCACCATATGAAATCGTTCGAGCGGCTTCAGGACAATGACACCATGATGAATTGGCGAAAAAATTGTCTTGAGGAGATACAGGGTGAGGATTGGCTTCCAGTGCAGATGAACATTTGAATGGTATAGCAGAATCTGCCAGAGTCATGAATTACAATTCTTGCGATACATCCTTACCATCTTCCTCTGAAAGTTGATTTAGAGGTAATCCACGAGCCCTATAGTTTTAGGTAATCCTTTGGAATCTTCTTGAACTCTTACAGTGAGCAGGTTTGGAGGACCATCTTCACAAGATACTTTTGTCATCCAAGTGGCAATGACTTCACTGCATGCGACCCAAAACACCACATATTAACTGCAACTACGTCAGCGATTAAGATATTTCGGAAAAAGTTCATCACACTACCCATTTGAAATTATAATTCTTTATAGGCAAAGACAGAATTCATTTCAGGTATCAGTATCTTCATCTTTCAGGAGTTGGAAAATGATTTCGGCTAATGACTACATCGCATATCAATGATTGGCATATACTGCATAGAAACAGGCTAATAAATGTGGAAGTTGAAGCAAACCAACTCACTTCAACCTGAGACAGGATTGGACCAAAAACACTATCCAAATTAAGGATGAGGTTGAGGTAGGCATATATTGACATAACAGGCACTGTATTAGGACAAACAGATCAGGATACACCATGACCATAACAAGTAGAATCATGATGCAATTTTCCTGTTCCAGAACAGCAAGAACTATTACCGAAAAGGGTCTCACTAGGTAATTACCTAGCTTCAAGAAAGCTTCTAGAGGTCGGCTCTTTCAGAAAAAATCATTATATAAGCCCAGGCCCCATTACCAACTTATTCAGATGGAGTGCTTTCTCTTTCACTTATGATTGCTCTGCCAGACATCACCTCAGAACTTCTTTACAAGAACCCTGGGAATGCTGCTCAGGACCCTCTGGCTTCCATTTTGATCTTCCTTCATTAATGGTAATAAAACATATTTTCTAAATTGCTTTGTTAATATAGTCATCCTAAAAAACCAACTAGGAATTAACGATCAAACTAATTATGAAATAAATTAAACACCATTTGCATTTATGCGAAACAAACGTCAGGAATAATTAGGTCAAAGCAAGGACAAATGATACCTTGAATGACTAGAAAACAGCGGACAAAATAAATAATGAAAATTAACTTACCCAAATAAGCTAAGCTAAAACCAACAACACAAAAATCTCTACTATGGGCTCCATTCTGTGACTTCTTTAGAAATTAGGTTATCGAGTCGATCACACAATTTTTTGCCAATATGACAAAACAACAAAAAGTTCCTTGGAATTCACCCCATTAGTATCTCCTGATGAACAAACAGAAAAATTTCTGTGGACCTAGTAGCGTTACACTCTTGATGCTAAACTTTTTGCTAAGAAAAAATTTGTTCACTGGATTTTAGGAATGGCCGTTTCATTCAAATACTGTAGGTAACCAGAAATATTTTCACCTTTTTGTCAAGGAGTATGAAAAACCAAACTATAAAACCACTGCCCCCTACTTAAAACAAGGAAACAGTGGAAACTGCGTCTAAGTCTGGTGCTTTTATCAGGTACACATAGCTACGTCTGCCTCAAGATAAATAACAGAGGTATACAGGTAAAAGGAATCAGAAAGGATACCTCTATTTTGGATTGTGTACAAGAATTGTTTTCGGAGCTAGATTTCAAAAAGGGTGGGTGCTTCACCAGAAGTATCCTCATAAAGGAAGTGATGCAGTGCGAATTTAGAGTGCTTCCAACCTCAAAGCAAGATGAAATCTGCGAAGTTCCAGAAGAAGGTCCACACTATTGCACAACTTTTGATAAGAAATATATATTTTTCATTCATACACTAAGGCTACTGTGAATATTGTAGCTAAATAGCCCTGCCACTAAAGTAAATATGTTAATACAAGAAAATAAAAGGCATAGCACATAGGAGGCTGAAATAACATGTGTTTGGATCACGAATTTCATCAAATGGTATGAGAGTGGCACTTCTTTTAGGTTTTGTTAACTGGCCATGGTTGAAGAATATACATCCTCAAAATCCTTGCAAATCGATTAAAGTTTTTGAATTAAAATCAATAAAATCCCTGAAAGCTTTAAATTTTTGGTTTTGGGTCTAAATTTTGCTTCTGCTAATGCTTATCTCTGGCAAATTGTTGAACATTACGGCAGCGTTTTTTAAAAAAATGTAAAATTATGATCAGGACAAAAGGAAAGAGGAAACCTACCAATTTTGTTGCACTAAAAAGTAAAGAAATACTTAAAATGTTGATTCAACATAATATAGGAGAGTAGATTTAACAACTAACAACCAACACCAGATGCCAAAATGAGAGGCAATGTTAACTTCATAGGTTTTATTATGGAAACATGTTGGCAGAAACTGAGACAATATAAAAACTAGCCCAAAGGAAGATAAAAAGAGTAAGGTTTTCTTAAACAAGTACAGGAGAACAATGTGTCCAAGAAAAATACTTATTACCGCTTACTTTTGAGTTTCAGGGTGAGATAAAACAAATCCAGGACTTGAGAAGCTGAATGCCTCAAAGATATTCTGTAAGCCTCCGTCTCATTCCTTTCTGACTAGTTGGAATGCAAAGAATAATTTTCTTGTTCGAAAGTTTTGAAATTTGTGACTTCCAGCACTGAATAGTGGGATAGAAGCTCACTGTGCTGAAGAACATCAGATAGAGGTATTCAGAATAATGCAACTCGCTAATAGAAACCCTTGGACCATAAAGTGCACAGAAACACGGATTTGTTAAAGCAACAACAAAAAGCAATATGGATCTGTAACTGGTTCCTGTTAGACACATTTATCAAGTGCGTTAAAGAACTAACAAAGTTAACAGTTTCTAGTTAAAAATTTTAACCGTTTAAGACGCGTATACTTTATCGTTACCACATGCAAATGTACTTATCACTTGCCAAGTTGCCAAAAACCTTAGAATTTAATGGGTGTACATGGCAAGTCGCTTGGAACTGTCACAGCTCCACTGTTCAACAGTTCTCATTGGTTATCGTGGTCTGTGTACTGCGTAGCTTGTGTGAAGAAGGCACCTACTTTGACCGGGCATAGAGGGGGAAGGACATGGGGAAATGTGGTGAGGGACCCTGCTTTACGCATATTAATTTGATGAATATGAAAGGCATATTGTACAAAAGTTAAAGGATAGTAAATATGGGTGCAGTATTCTAGGGGATATTACGAAGAGCACTGCAAAAATCAAACAAATTTCATATGGTTATGGCATACAGCACAAGCTCATAGAATAAGCTTTTAGAAAGTGTTAAAAAGTAGAAAAACAGATTGCCTCTAAGCCTGTCTAATGTTGGAGAGAGGTATATCGCACTGGTCTCTCCATGTTCTATACACAACAAGATATATCATTTAATTTCCTACTTTGAGGAAGCTTATAAAAATCAATCGCAACGGGTTCATGTTCACAAGAGTTAGAAAAGGACTTAAGGATCTGGTTTGCTAATCTTTCGCTGCCGATTATGGAATTTATCCAAGTGATTCAGGAATTCTCCAGGAGATTGGAAGCAAGCAGAAAGTATTATTAGGTACACTTGGATTTAAGCGTATAAAAGTTAGTTTAAGCTGAATAATTTTGGCCAAGGAGAAAAATATCAGAGTATCAAGGCCATTAATTGAAGGAATAGCCTTAGCAAGCTAATCGAGCCTGAGCGGGCAAAGGAATCATCAGGATTTCACTTTAAACTGTGACAACCCATTTTACAACCAAATAGCTTTCTTTACCTGTGGAGAACGGCACAAGATTCAAGTACATTTGTATCTAAGGCAGCCAATCTCTTCTTTCATTGTTACACACCAAACCAGAAGGAGACAAAGCTTGGACAATGGTTCTTGGGGATAGCAGACAGGGTCTAGACGATTTATTACAGAACACGAGAAAAGGAGAAAGGATGATCAGTAACTAACAAAAGAAGACAATAGGATAGGTACACGTGCCGTTTACTTTTCGAAGAGCAATGGGAAGTCAAGTCTGACGGAGCAGGTGGATGCGCACAGGGCTCAGGTTGGGTGGAGAACCAAATTCTTTTGTGTGAAAGCAGTAGATCCAGGGGAAGTGCAGTCTAAGAGTATCCCTGTCTCCTGCGAAATAAAACATGTTCAAAATGAGGCGGACAGGATGTGTGCAGGAGGGAACAGGAGGAGTCGAGACGCATGTTGTAGCGGAGCAATCCAAGTTCGAGGACAGAAAAAGAGCAGGAGGCAGGAGAGTAGGAATTGTTGTCGGATAGCGTAGACGTAAAAAACTCAATACATTCTCCCCTCACTCATATATTATAGGAGAAGGAAATAATGAAGTGAGTATTTTTCAAAAAGAATGTTGAACATCAGACAGAAATAAAAGTAACGGTCAAGATCAGAAGAGAAACACGATATCGCCTATTTGATGCTCGAGAAATACCCAATGGAAATACACGAAGGGATTTTGGATCTGAATTGGAACTAGGGAACGACATTCACGAAAAATCAAAACAAGTACAACAAAAAATACGAGGTTCAATAGGGAATAAAAGTTAGAAGGAAACAAGACACGTATAAGTGTAAAATTGCGACCGATTAAGACAGGAAGAAGAGGCATGTGATTTAAATCATAAGAAACCTGACGAGTTAGACGAGAGGCAGTTTCCGCCCTCAAAAATGTATAGGGACCTGTCATTTTGAAATATTAGGAGTTTGCCCTAGAAACCTCAAGAAGATGTTCGATATAGTTTTATTTTTCTTGCAATCCCCCATTTTGAGGGGGATTAGTATTCATTTCAAACAGACGAAATATCTTTACGTGCTTTGGCATGTACAATAATCCATATTTAGTATGTGTGTATATATGAGATATAAGGATTTGATAGCCATTTTTAATCGTAATACTTTATTATTATGACATGTGGCTGTATTGTGACTATATACAGAACATGTGAATAAATATATTCAGAGATTAATATATTAATTGTATTTTTTAAATGCTTGTCATATAGACTCTCATTAATAGAGAATGGTATGATTAGAGAATATCTTTTAATTTTCAATATCATCATTTT